TTTGCTATTTTTCAGCCTTTTTTTGGTTTTCTGGAAAACTCATCGCTGTCCCCTCGTCACTGTCGCTTTCCTGCTGCCGGTTTAAAAAACCGGTAGTGATAGAGTTTTTTAATCGGCAGTGATGCTCTTATATGTGCTAGTGTTTTGTGCACATACTGTACGTACGTAGAACCAGCAGGCATGCATGCGGTGTCTGTATGCCGCCAAGCTAGCTACCATGGCATGCAGTACCCGTGTCCCACCAGTACGGTTTCTGTATGCTGCATTGCATCGAGATCTAGGTTGTGCTGAGCTGGCACCGCGTGGCGTTTGGCGCCGGGCGTTGTTTGAGTTTGCAAGCAAAGTGCACGCTGCTGCTGCTGTCAGTTGGCCACACCCACACTTGACAAAATATCTGTTTATACAAATCAGATCAGATCTAGCAAAACGCAGGATATTATACAAGCATGATCCATGGACCAACGTAACCGGACCTGCAGGCTGCAGACGATGCAGCAATCCATCTGCCGGTCCAGCTCCATGCCTCCATCCAGGTGCGCACTGATTACAATAAAATTTTATCAAAGAAAAACGTGGAGATGATTAGGGACATTTCCCCCCTTTCTTACGGGAAAGAACTAAGATGATGAGCGAATAATGCTGCACTAAAACAAAATGAAATTAATTAACATATCATCGTGAGGACTAAGGAGGAGTGACGTTTGAATTCAGTGGGAAGGAGGAGATGGATTATTCATATTCATATTCCATCTCAAATTCTCCACGACACGAGGAGCGCTTAGCCTAGATTCATCATTCATATTCGATTCCATGCCCACGAGAAGTGGAATCCATATTGTGTGTGGAATCCATATTTTGAATGGGCGTCAGCATCGTGCAGCATTCCAATTCCATTTAGTTCAGTTCCGTCACGACTCACGAGGCATTCCGTGCGCGCGAGCGCAATCGCCTCGCCCGAGACTTCTGAATCACGTGGAGTAACGGGGTTTCGCCGCTCGGAAGGCCCAGCCCATTTTGCCGCTTCTTTTCACACTTCCCCCGCGCTTCCTTCCATGCAAACTTTAGTTTAAGCGTTTATTAGGTGTTAATAACTTTTTTTGCCCACGACCCGCTGGCCTTGGTAATTGTTTTGGCCCAGGGAGGAGAATCCACCTGACCGAGCCGAAAGCACACATGGACATGGTGCCTTTTAAGCTGAGTATATGGATGTTAGCAAACTACTAGTTGATATCACTTCTTTAAGATGTGATTACTTTATTATGCATCGTCTGTTTTTAATTCTATTTACACTGTTGTATTTTCTGCGCTGAGATGTACACCATCATGTATATGTTTCGGAATTGTTTTTATGTACTGGCAACTTATATTATACTGTAATAGCTATACTTATGTATAAGTGCCTAGCAATTTATGTGTAAACTACCAACAAACTACATGCGTAAATTGCTACAAAGCATAATTTTTACTGGTTTATCAACTAAGGCATTTACATAATTTGCCACACTATATTCCTAAAAGTGATCAACGCACTATAGGTTGTTGCAGGTACTCCATAGTTTCTTTGAAAGGGATCCTATATATATCATGCCCTTGTATTTAAGAGTCGATAGAGGTCATCAATATGTGTCCTGTGGACTTTTAAATTAAGGTTTGCAGTATCCATATTGATTAGGGACCGTATCGTCCATACTAATTAGGGTTGTAGCACACATACCTTCTCCCGCTCGGGCCGCTCACGACTAGCCCTGGCATTCGGTTAACCGAAACGGATCGGTTCGGTTCCTCGGTTCTTTATAAAATTCGGTTAGCATAAAACTAGGAACCGATCGGTTAGCTAGGAAACTTGGAACCGAGGAAATTTGGTCTCGATTAGTTCGATTCGGTTTTGCTTTTGTTTAGAACCGAACTAACCGAGCTATACATTACATCAGCGAAACAGAAGGGAAGAAAAGGGGAAAAATGAAAAAAAATGGCGGCAGTCGCCCCTTCGTCCAGATCCAACCTCCTGAGTCCTTGCCGGCAGTAGAGGCAGAGGATTCGTGCGAAGCGTGACGGTGGAGTGGACAAGACACAATATAGGTGAAGTTTCTCTTTATTTCACCTAATCGATATCCTTACTGTATATATGCAACAAGCAACCTGGATAAGGGTGAGCGCTTAATGCTCACGCCGGGCAGCTCGAAAAAAATCGCTCCCCACACCGCGTGGGACCTTAAAAAAATCTCGGCCTTCGTCCGCTATCGCCCCATCGCCTCCAAGCCGCCAAAGCAAGCGGCAAGTCGCCGCTTATTGCAGCAGCCCATCCCTCACGACGCCTCCGTCCCCCGCCGCCTAATGTCGCTAAATCCTTCCTCACCGAGGCTAGGCGAAGAGAGGGGGGCTGTAACACCTACGCCCTAAGCATGCTCTCATGAGCATAATCGAGCATGGCATGAAATATAGAATAGAAGCATACTATGCCTCGGCCTCCATGTCTCGATAGATTGGATGCTATGTTTGTTTTGATCACTTAGAACAATTAGAAGTAGCTAAGATGCAATTTGGAGCAAGGTGTTTGCCATACATTACATTGCTTTTAAAAAATAACCTTCCGAAATTTTGGAAGAAAAGGGAGAAAATGGCAAAGTTGTAGAGTAGCGGCAGCGAACAACTTTCATCGTACACCTAGATGAAAATGCTTTTAAAATGGCTCAAAATGGAGTCCTTAAGAAATAAAAAGAAAAATCCTTTTATTTTCCTTAGAGGCAAGAGAGGACACCAGAAGCGGCGTGATGGTGGAGGCTGTCAGGGGCAGGGTGAGCAGTGGCGGCGGCGCCTCGGCCTCGATCCCTAGCCAAGACGGAGCCCACGCGCCCCTCGGCCTCAAGCGGCAGCAGCAGCAGCCCTCGCCTCGGCCTCCCAGGCATCGCCAGCACGACCGGACTCGGCCTCGACCTCCAGGCAGACTAGCACCAGCGACGTGGGGAGGACCTCGGGGAGCGGGGACGACGGAGGCGGTGTGGGACTAGGGATAGGGAAAGGTCGGGTGGGCGCTGGGTGGTGGGGATGGGAACCGAGGGGCTATGTTATATACCTAGGGTTGAAATTTGGGTTAGGCCTCTTTTGCTATTGGGCCAATATGTTTACAGGATTCGGTTCTTTAGTTTTGTTAAGTTTTTAGGTTTCTTGTGAGATCTATCTAAAAAAATATTGCATGAACCGAACTTTTACCCGAGTTTTATTTAAATTTGAATTCTGAGGCGAGAATGTCTAGAACTAGGAACCGAAAAATTTTCTAGTTTTGTTAATTTGATTTTTGTTCTAGTTATTTTCATGTTCGGTTCTATTGGTTATTTTTGCCTTTAATTGATGGTTACTCACGACAAGCATGAGAACATAATAATTAAGTGGACAAGACACAATATAGGTGAAGTTTCTCTTTATTTCACCTAATCGATATCCTTACATTACTGTGTATATATACTTCGAACCAAGTCTAAAGTTTGGAAAGAGCCAACAAGCAACTGGATAAGGATTAGAACTTCTAATCCTCGTTCCTTCTGGACTCTCCTTCTAGAGACTAGGACCAAGTCGATTGTTTTAGCGCTAATGCTCACGCTCGGGCATCCCTCCGTCCGGACCCGAAAAAAAAATCAAACTCCCCCACGCCGCATGGGACCTGAAAAAAAAATCAAATCTCCCCACGCCGCACTTGACTCCCAACTCCACGCTCGTCCATTGTGTGGCATTTATTACTATCCTTGCCTACCTTATTACCTTTTACCTCAGGTGGAATCGAATGCTGCTTAGCCTTGCTTCTCGCGATCATCCACCGTGGGTGGTTCCATCCTATGGAAAGAATGCCCATGATGGAAAATTGGAGCCAGACGGAATAGTTGCCATCTGTGGGGCGGCGCTTGTTAGTTTTCCCCATGACGCCTCCGCTCCCCTCTTGTCATGTTGAACGCATGCCAATGTGGTGCTCGTCCTTGGCCTCCGATCACCGAGGCCAGAGGTGATGGCGCGCCAAGAGAGGGGGCGGCGATTCACGGCATGAGGCGGTGGCATGGCTCAGAGCCTAGTCAGCGGCAGGGAAGCAGCTGTCAGTCATTGTCAGCCTCACCACCATCCTTGGCCGCTGGGTGGCTGGAACCGCCGCGTTTATTATGGAACAATGATGGTTTGAGTTATGCTCGGATGTTATTGGTTAATTGATTGTCGTGTGGAAGAAGGGTGAAAAACACATATTGCAAGCCTTATGTTTCAAGTATTTTAGTTGTTTCATAGGTATGTTGTAAATATTTTATATGGATGTTGCAAAAGTGGATCGGGCTGTTGCATATATGTTGCAATGGTTGTACACGCATGGTACAAGCTTCTGTTCCCAATATTTCATTGGTTTGTTCATACGTATGTTGCAGGTGTTTTTATTTGGATATTGTGTATGTTTCACACATATGTTGCAAGTATTTTTATCTTAAGTCCTCTTTGGCACGGCTCATCATTTGGCAAAAGCGGCTTCACCGGTCACCACCAAAGTTTGGAAAGCCAAGTCGTGTGAAGAAGGGAAAAACGATATTGCAAGCTTTTCCCGACTTTAGTTCAGGTTTTAAAATGTTTGGCTTACAAAAATGGCTTCACGCTACGGTGCCTCGATTTGCGTAAAATAGATGAAGCCAAAGCCGGGATAAGCCGTGCCAAAGAGGCCCTTAATGTTGCATATATTTTGCAATGACTTCTCAAGTGTTTTTAGGTATTTTTACAAATGTTTTAGATACATGTTTTAATTGTTTTATCTGTCTTTATACGTATGTTGTGAATGTTTTATCTGGATGTTTTAAAAGTAGATCAGGTGTTGTACTGCCACAACCATCTGATGCTGCTGCTGGGGCACCGTGCATGCGTGTGGGAAGCAGATAGAGCGTCGCGCGGCTGCAGGCGTAGGAAGCGGAGAGGAAGCGTGGAGAGCCGCGGGCGTGCGGACGTCCGGCGTTAGTACTGCCCTTTTAGAGCACTTCTATCTATCCTCTCTTAAACGGCAGTGCTCCTGGCTTTACCTTAAAAAAGAAATAAAGCACTACGAGTCCATTTACAGTGTGTTGTGACTTGTGAGTAGGAGACATCCGGAACAACCTCCCCTGCATGCTGGCAAATTCGCATATACATGATGATGTGCCATCTACACGCGTTCTACCTTCGTAGACTGAAATCCGTAGACATGTGTGCTGTCCTTCTCGGAGACATTCAGGGGTTGTTTTTGTAATCACGGACGTATTTCTAAATCAAAATTCTAACCACACAGACACAGACAAGACAGGAGTGGAATTCGACTTAGTTTCACCAGTTTCTCTGGTTCAGAATTAAATTCCTCGTCGAAACGTTCCGACTTGTGCGTGATCACCCGGAGACGGCCGTCGTCGCCGGGAACCACCTCCACGCCGGTGAATACGCCGATCGGATTGTCGAACGCGTGTTCCCGTTTCATAATAAGGAAGTACCTTGCGACGCAGAGCCTTCCGGAGCCCAGGCTCGCGACGGCATGACCGAACAGGAACAAGTCGTCCCGCAGCTCAAGATCAACCCCGATGTCATACAACGCCGGCGGTTGGCAGCTGGCGTCGTCACCGGCACCGGCGGTGGAGAGGTCCAGGTCCAGGGCGTACAGGCCGCTGCGGGACAGGCTGGTGCGAGACATGGCAAACCAGAGGCCGAGCTCGGGGACGTGCTCGGCTTTGCCCGAGAATGGCAGCACCCAGTCGCCGTACTTGTTCCACTCGCTTTTCAGCGTGTCGAAGGAGTAGGTCGTCGTGGCGGTGGACACGCAGATCGTGGTGCCGCCGCCGGCCATCGCGTAGGGTCGGTGCCCGGGCTCGGCGTCCTCGTAGTTGGGCCTGCGGAGGATGGCGGCGGCGGGAGCGGACTCCACTTCCACCCGCCGCGGTCGCCGTGGTAAGCGAGCACCTCGAAGTCTAGTCTCTCATCTCGATCCCCACTTGCTCTGTTTACTCCTTCCCCAAGTCTAGTCTCTCATCTCGATCCCCAATTCTGTTACGCTAACAAGAGGCTGTGTGCGCGGATGTCGGCCGAGTCGTGGGCGCCGGCGCGGGGGACAGAGACTGCGACGTACTGGCGCTCCTTGCGCGACCTCATCACCGGCATGCATAGTTCTTCAGAGTTTGTCTATCATAGAGAATGTGCTGATTGGGTGGCCATTTAGATGTAACTACAGGCCGGTGTTTTTGTCTTTAATTTTGCCAACCGCATAGTTCTTCAGAGTTTGTCTGTCATAGAGAGAGTATAGTCCTCGAACATCAGAAAACACACAAGTTCCGAAGGATAGCTTCATAAACTTGTAGATCTTGGACATGGCAACTAATGACTTTTGGCTCGTTGACAAGCATCACACACATAGTCTTTATTTAATTCAAAAGAACAAGGAAGATCATTTTTTCCAACAACTTCTGTACCAGGACGAAGTATACATGAAGCACACGCTAGCTGGCTTGATGAGTGTACCTTTGGTTATTACCAACCTGTATAGGACACGAGCATGAAGCGCGCAATATAAGGGACAGTGGAACTGGGAACAAAAGAAATCACACTTGAACCAGTAGTGGAAAATTAATAACATGACAGACGCTGATGAATGCTAATGCACCCTTTTATTAATAATATATATGCGAATGCGAGCGTACAAATGGTTCACGGTTACAACAACACACGGTAGTATAATATAATATGGATAAATCATAAACAGATAGAGATACATATCAAATAAATTCATGACAACACGATAAAATATATTATTTTTTCACAAACTGAAGAAATATGGATCTGATGCAGATATAAAAACCACGAAACCAAAACATACGTGTTGCACCTTTAATTCCTTCACCCATGACGCTGACTAGTATCTCTTGGACACGTCTAAAGCCAGCTTTATGTTTAGGAATAATCTTATCGAATTCCTCCCGGATGTGCTGGGGCATCTTATTTGTATTTCTTCTTAGATTGAAATAAACGAGGTTTGGTCGGACCTTGCTACCATCCCACCCGTCCTCAGGCCATTCCACATTGCCATCCAGCTCTACCGTCTGAAAGAATCGAAGGCTCGGTGCGGTGAAGACGCTTGAAGGAATCACATCACCTTGCAGACTCAAGTCAGCAAGGAGATGCATCTTCATGAGAGCACTCTTCAGTGCTGGCCCATGTTTTTCATGTGCTTTTCCATGCAGCTTCAGTGTCCGGAGATTGGGCATCTTGTGCAGTGCACATTTCTGTCCCTTCCATTCTCCTCCTTGGGCAGGCTTTACGCCAGATAGAGTCTGCAGCTCGCCCAGTTCCTCCTCGATGGTTTCTGGAAGGGTGAGCTTCTCTGCAAGCACATGCCGGAGTGTCCTTATTTTCCAGAAGCCTGGGTCAATCATCTCCACTTGAGTTTCCTGTATGTTCAGTGTCTGCAGGTTGAGCAGCTTCTTAATGCTGGACGGGAGCTCCTTGAGGTCCTTGCACTCAACACCTAAGTGACGCAAGTGGATCATTTCACCGATCTTATTTGGCAGCTTCTCAATCATTAGTCCTTGTACTTTGATTACGCGAAGGAACTTGGACCCACACAGAAACTTGAGATCATGCCCATGCTTCTTGCTGTTCGTGTCTTGGCTGTCGTTGCTCTGATGCTGTTGCTCCTTGTCAACCCAGCATATGAAAGGACGCAACTTAGGAAACTTGTTGGTGAATGGGATATATCTGCCGCCCAGACTCATGAAAGAGAGGCGGCGCACCGACGGTGGAACAAAGACATGATGCATGTCGTGAACCTCCATGAAGCCAGCCTCACGAGCCTCTGACTGCAGGAACCCATGGAGCCTTGGGTGAACCTTGACCCCCTCAATACCACCAGCGGCATTCATCTTATGAATCTGAACAAGGCACCGCAAGACCAGCTCCATGAGGTAGCTACGACCCAGCTCCTCCATAGTCTTGCCCTTCTGTGGCTTGATGAATCCCTCGGCTATCCACGCCTGCACGGCTTCATTGGCAGTCCAGAAGGTATTCTTTGGGCTAGCAGCAAAGTAGAGGAAGCATGACTTGAGGTCGTTGGGAAGGTCTTCAAAGCTTGCCCAGAAGACCCTCTCAATCGCTGTTGTTCTTGCGGACACAAGGTTAGCATGACTTGTGGATTGTACAGCTTCTTCAGTTTTCAGCTTGTTGCCTTCACCGTCGCCGCCTTGTACTAGTAGTGCTTCTTCCATCCTTGGTCCAGGCCTAAGTTGTTGTAGCACTGCTTCCCACTGTCCGGGCTCTCCTTGAATCGGAGTAGTCCAGCCAGAACCACAATAGCCAGAGGGTAACCCCCAGTTATATCATACACAATTTTGTGATACCTGTCGTCCCTGTTGTTGGTCATCATCATGCTGTCTTCCTTTGATCCATCATTACATACTATTTCTCTCCTGAAGGCCCTCGAACGGAACAACTGTCCGCTTCCTTTTTCATCCAAACGGCTCAACATGTGGATCCCGTTGAAGCCCTCTTGGTTGTTCATGGAATTAGCATGCCATGCAACTTCTTCGTACTCAGTGTCCAATACGAGCAGCACCCGGCTTCCATTATTGTCATCAGGCAGGCTTGCCCTCACGCAGCTGAGCATGGTTTTGGAGGGTATGCCACCGATAATCACCAGATACCTCTTCCCCGCCAGGAGGCGTCGGACCTGTTCACTGATGTCATTAATGCCTTCCTTTGGCTGATTATTGACGCATAGTCCCTCGTAGATTTGTTCGAGGACAAAATCCACGGTGGAATCCGCTGGCAGGGGGAGCCCAAAGAAAACGTCGAACATAGAAGCCACTTCTTGGACGATCATCATTACAAGGGTCCTCTTCCCGACACCACTCTCCCCAAGTACGGAGATGAACATTTGCCTCTGGTGATCTTCACGAAGCAGCAATTGCCGTAGTTTCATAGCATCGCCATCAAAACCCACAGCGTCATCTGGCCTGTTAATTTATTATTAGTATTTTGTCGCATACCAGAAAATGGGGTACCCCAAGCAAAGATCGAAAAACTGCTTAGACCATAAGAACAGAACCAACGGAATAAACAAACGAGGTCTCGGCCGAAATCTCCGATTCGCCCGAGACCCCGTCGCCGAGCCCCAGCGGAAGCGAACGATTCTCCGACTCGCCCGAGACCGCCTCGCCGAGGCCCCCTCGCCCGGGGCCTCGGAAGAAGTGCCGATTCTCCGATTCGCGCGAGGCCGGCTCGGCACCAGCCCCGTGATCGCCTCTTCGACCAAACTGCTCGACCGAACGTCGATTCAAGCGCCCAACCACTCCGGCTGGACGACGATGGCACAAAGACAACGAAGTGACCGACTACACGCGATCGCGTCAACCTCCCGCCATCTGCGATGACACAGAAAGCGGGGTTACCGACCACCGTGGCTTGCCTAACTCCCGCACCAAGGACATCGCATAGCGTGGGGAGTCGAAGCGGGATCTCAGAGCCTCGTAATCAGCGGACCGACCGCTCCGTCTCGCCCGAGCCCCCCTCGACAGGGCCTCGGATTCGCGATCTTACTCCGCCTCGCCCGTCCGCCTCGCCGAGACCCTCCCGGTAGGGCCTCGGAGACGAATTGGCGCGCTCCGCCCGCCCGAGGCCGGGCGCAAATCCCGCAACCTCGTCGCCTCCGCCTCAAAGGTCTCTCTCGACAGTCGTCGATCCGATTAACGCGCTCACCGCACCCGCCACGTAAGCCACGATCGGCGGTGCGGCTTGGCCGCAACAGAGCGACGGACAACGGTCGATCACCTTTTTACCATCCCTCATCGACAATACGGTATCAGATCCCGTAGGCGACGTCTCGCACTATTCCGCCGATGGCGCTAAGACCCGATCTCCGCACTGGGTCACTTTCAGGGCCTCAAGACGGCAGCGAGCCTCAGATAACAGGCCTCGGCACGACCGGCCACGATGGCCGCCGAGCCTCTCGCAATCCACCAAGTCAACAAATGCGCAAAGCATGTTACTTTGATGGAGACCATACCGATTAGACATCTATGGGAACTCCCACGACAACGCCATGTTGCTCCAGAGTAAACACGTCATCGAATAGTCCGCTCCACGTGTAGCTCTCTTATGTACTCCTGGTTTCCTCCCCGTGGCTATAAAAAGGCGGCCAGACCGTTTTAGGGACGCGCAGATAGAGTCACGAATACTGCAGACGAACAACACGCCTCATTCGTAATTCATATCACCTCCCTCACAGAGACACGGGACGAACTCCTCTCTCGCCTAGCTTGTAACCCCTACTACGACGAGCACCCCGGTGCAAGGAATACAAGAACATCTTCTTAGAATCGGACGTAGGGCATCCATTGCCCGAACCAAGATAAACCTTGTGTCTCTTTGCATCACCATCCGGAATTGGGAGCACGCAGCACAAATTCACTAGTCGGTTAGGGACCCCGGTTCAAAACCACCGACGATTGGCGCGCCATGTAGGGGCCTCTGCGTGTCGACTTAGTCATCCCACAGATTCGGATGGCGAGATCCGTGCGATCGTTGCGTCTGGGACGATCGTCAGTTCGGGAGCCTAGAATTTATGTCTCTAGGGCACGAAGTACGACATGGTACTCCTCTCACCCAGAGCGCCATCAACCGGACGACGACGTCATGCACCGCAGCCCCACGCACAGACGGCGGCGCCGGGCCCGCTCCGTCAAGCTGCTGCAGCCGCCAGCGCTGGAAGTCCACCCTAACACCGCACAAGTATGAAACGCCGATATGTGCTCCACCGAATCCCATACCCCGCCGCGCCGCACAGAGTCCTCAAGACGAGGACTGTCCGGCTTAAGCCTCGACAGGGGAAAAGGGCCGGTGGCGCACAGCGATGCCCCATCATCAAGCTCTGTCCCGCCTCCTCCCGAGGAGCCAGCTCTGGCGGAGCAGAGCCTGGCGGCAGTGCCATCCCCGTACCCTTTCGGGCTGACCAATGTCGCCGCCTCCTACGCCACCGCCCTCGTCTCCATTCATCAACGTCATGCCCATAACCCCATAGTCACAACTCCATTCCACCCCACTCGACTCCTCGGAGGAGGACGAGGCGTGGGTTGGAGCACACTTCTCCAAGCCGCGACCACGAGGCGGCGCGCGCCGCTTCATGATCGTGAGCGACTACTGCTTTGACTACTCCGATTCCGACAACGAGGACGCGTACGACCCGACTCGTGAGTGTTTCCACATCAGACTCGGAATGCCGAGCACGGGCAACGATGGAGGAAGGGCAGCCAACGCCACACCACCACTCACGGGGTCCCCGCCAGCGGCGGCAGGTGTCCCCACCCCCGAGCAACTTCGACGCATAGACCTAGAGTAGCTCCGTGAGCTTCAAGCCAAGGTCGAGCAAGATCGACTCCTCCTGCAGCAGCTCCGAGCCACCCTCGAGCAAGAGCAGCAGGGGCGCGGCGATGGCAGAACGGCCCGGCCGAGAGCTCGCGATGTCAACCGCCGCATTAACGATGATGAGGGGGGCGAGCAACCCCCTGTCTTCAATCGCGCTAGCCAGAACATCGCTGCGGCGGCGATACTGGTCCGAGCGATGCCCGAGCCCTCTACCACGGAGGGGCGACGGGTCCACGGTGAACTACGGGGCCTTCTCGAGACTGTCGCGGTGCAGTAGGCCGAAAGCTTCGCATCTCGACGACGCGGGGATGCCTCGAAATAGCCCTCGGTGCATGACCACCTCAGGGCCCCCTCAATGCACGACCGCCTCGACGACCAACGCGGGCGCAAAACGGCCACCATGTGGGCAGCAGACGATGGCACCACGACCACGATGGGGCCGCCCGGGGCTACCAATTGCACCGAGGCGGTCGCTATGACAGTGGGGAGGACCGCAGTCCTTCTCCTGGGCCGCCTGGCCCTAGAGTTTTTAGTAAGGCCGTCCGCAGCGCCCGCTTCCCGGCCCGGTTTCGTCAGCTAGCGAATCTCTCAAAGTACAGCGTCGAGACCAACCCCGAGCTATGGTTGGTCGACTATCGTCTGGCTTGTCAGCTAGGCGGTGCGGATGATGACCTGCTCATCATCTGCAACCTCCCCTATTCTGCTGGGGACTCGCCATGAGCCTGCTCGAACACCTTCCCCCTATGCAAATCCACGACTGGCGCGACTTGGTAAAGGTCTTCGTCGGGAATTTCCAGGGCACCTACGCGCGCCCCGGGAACTCCTAGGACCTCAAGAGTTGCCGCCAGAGGCCGGACGAGTCTCTCCGAGACTTCATCCAACATTTCTCCAAGCAATGCACCGAGTTGCCCAGCGTCGGCGACTCAGAAATCGTCCAGGCATTCCTCTCCGGCACCACCTATCGAGACCTGGTCCGAGAATTAGGCCGGAGCGTACCGACCACGGCGTCCACACTCCTTGACATCGCCACCAGCTTCACCTCTGGTGAAGAGGCCGTCGGGGCCATCTTCCCCAACAACGACTCCAAGGGGAAGAGGCGGGATGAGACCCCCGGGGCCTCGACGTCTCGCCCCCCCAGAAAAAGAAGGGACGCCAGGGGAAACAGGAGGTTCTCGAGGCCGGGCTCATCGCGGCCGCGGACCGCAAGAATCCCCGAGGCCTAGGGCTCTTCGACAACATGCTTAAAAGACCCTGCCCATACCATCAGGGCCTGGTAAAGCACACCCTCGAGGAGTGCACCATGCTCCGGCGATACTACGCCAAGCTCGGGCTCCCCAACGACGATGCCAAGAAGAGGGGCCAGGACGATGGAGACAACGACAAGGACGACGGGTTCCCGAGGTACACAATGCCTTCATGATCTTGGTGGACCCTCGGACGTGCCTCACGGGCGCGACAATGAAAAAAAGGAACGCCGAGAGGTCTTCTCGGTTAAGGTGGCCACTCCCGGTACCTCGGACCGGTCTCGGAGGCGATCACCTTCGATCGAGATGACCACCCGATCATGTCCCAAACCCCGCCAAGACCGCCATCGTTGACCCGGTCATCGGGAACACCCGACTCACCAAGGTGTTGATGGACGGAGGCAGCGGCCTCAACATCCTATACGCCAACACGCTGGAGCTCCTAGGGCTCGACCAGTCACAACTCCGAGGTGACGCCGCGCCCTTCCACGGCATCATGCCGTGGATGCGCTGCACGACCTTCTGCAAGCATAGACTTACCCGTCTGCTTCGGCACCCTCCAACTAACGCAAGGAGACCCTCACCTTCGAGGTGGTGGGGTTCAAGGGGACTTATCACGCCATCCTGGGACGGCCGTGCTACGCCAAGTTCATGGCGGTCCCGAACTACACCTACCTCAAGCTCAAGATGCCGGGCCCCAACGGTGTCATCACTATTGACTCCACGTACGAGCATGCATACGACTACGACATCGAGTGCATCGAGTACGCCGAGGCTATAGTGGAGTCCGAGGCCCTCATCGCCAACCTCGACCAGCTCGGCAGCGAGGTGCCTGATTCGAAGCGTCGTGCTGGGACGTTTGAGCCCGCGGAGGCCATCAAGCTCATCGCCCCGGTCGACCCCACTTGCTCAAACAACCGAAAGTGCCGAGGGTCGGTAGCGACCCTCGGCAACAAAAATAGGGGCCATGCTCGTCGACCTTTTTTCTCGCTAACGCCGACATATCAGCGTGGAGTCCCTCGGACATGCCGGCATACCGAGGGAGGTCGCCGAGCACGCCGACATCCAGCCGGCTCTCTGCACCGGTTGAAGCAACGCACACGATTCGACGGGGAGAAGTGCAGGCCATCGGCGAGGAGGTATAGAAGCTTTTGGTGGCGGATTCGTCAAGGAAGTGTCCCATCCGGAGTGGTTAGCTAATCCTGTATTAGTTAAGAAGAAAAATGGAAAATGGAGAATGTGTGTGGACTACACCGGTCTGAACAAAGCA